TGATCCTCTGTCGCAATTGCTCACGGAGCAATGGGTTACTCCATATGTATTTAGGCATTACCTAGTGCGATTGGATCCATAAAAGCCCCACGAGACTTGCACGTGACGTCAACGTAGCCCCATATCCATAGGCCATGCTTATTAGGTGAACTACTATCTAAAGGACAATATTTTTATACATAAGTACATTATTTTTATGCATAAAATACATTGTTTTTATATGTAATGTTCAATATTTGAATGTATGCAAAATAGTATAAAAACAAATTGAATAGTCATTATTTTTATGCACAAGGTTCACTATTTGAATGGATATGGTTTATTATTTAAGGATGTACAAACTGATTGAGGTTCTAGGTTCATTTTTGTGGTACATGATGTTCTTTGTTTCTTGAATATTTTATTTCATTGTAGAATATGGCTAGACGTACTTATTCGGCACACCCCTTTACCTATACTTAAAAATATGATATTTAGCAAATTTATGTTCACTATTTGTGTACATAATATTCATTACTTGTATACATGAAGTTCACTATTTGTGTGAATGTTTTTTTATGCATGATCCACAGTAAAAATTGCCATCAATAGGTTACCACATTTAACAACATACATGATACACCAACCACAATCCGCATTACAAGATAAAGCATTGATAAATGTTCATTTTTTAATGTATTAAAAATAAACATTAAAAAAAGATGAACATTTAATACACTATAAAAGTTGTGAAGTCAGGATGGCCGAGTGGTCTAAGGTGCCAAACTCAAATTTTGGTCCTCGTGAAAGGGCGTGGGTTCAAATCCCACTTCTAACATAATATAATAAAACAACAAAATCTAAGAAAATATTTAGCTTCATAATATATGGTCATGGAATCGCAAATAATTTATATGTAAAAATGTTCTACTTACACGTTAAGAAAGTTTAATTCGAAATCTTTTGTAATTAAAAATAGTTTGAAAGTTTATTTTACCGTTATGTCACGGGGTTTAAAATGTTGTCGATTCAATAAAATTTGTAATTAATTTTTTTTAAATACAATATGAATATGGCATTTAAAATGGCAAATGAGGCAACTGCAGTTGGAACAAGTGGGACGAAAGAAGATGGAGCAATGAGTTAATACCATCTTAGGTCCTCCGAGTATAGTGATTTTATCACTTCTAGTCCTAAACTTTTGAATTTTTGTGGTCCTTCGAAATTTCACATTTAACCATTCTTGGTCCAAGTTAACCACCCAAGTCCTTCAACTTTCAAAATTTAAACACCCGTGATCCTCTGTCGCAATTGCTCACGGAGCAATGGGTTACTCCATATGTATTTAGGCATTACCTAGTGCGATTGGATCCATAAAAGCCCCACGAGACTTGCACGTGACGTCAACGTAGCCCCATATCCATAGGCCATGCTTATTAGGTGAACTACTATCTAAAGGACAATATTTTTATACATAAGTACATTATTTTTATGCATAAAATACATTGTTTTTATATGTAATGTTCAATATTTGAATGTATGCAAAATAGTATAAAAACAAATTGAATAGTCATTATTTTTATGCACAAGGTTCACTATTTGAATGGATATGGTTTATTATTTAAGGATGTACAAACTGATTGAGGTTCTAGGTTCATTTTTGTGGTACATGATGTTCTTTGTTTCTTGAATATTTTATTTCATTGTAGAATATGGCTAGACGTACTTATTCGGCACACCCCTTTACCTATACTTAAAAATATGATATTTAGCAAATTTATGTTCACTATTTGTGTACATAATATTCATTACTTGTATACATGAAGTTCACTATTTGTGTGAATGTTTTTTTATGCATGATCCACAGTAAAAATTGCCATCAATAGGTTACCACATTTAACAACATACATGATACACCAACCACAATCCGCATTACAAGATAAACCATTGATAAATGTTCATTTTTTAATGTATTAAAAATAAACATTCAAAAAGATGAACATATAATACACTATAAAATTTGTGAAGTCAGGCTGAGTGGTCTAAGGCGCCAGACTCAAGTTCTGGTCCTTGTGAGAGGGCGTGTGTTCAAAACCTATCCCACTTTTGACATAATAAAATAAAACTACAAAAAGTAAGCAAAGATTTAGCTTCATAATATATGGTCATGGAATCGCGAGTAATTTATATGTAAAAATGTTCCACTTCTGAGATAATAAAATAAAACTACAAAAAGTAAGCAAATAATAAAATAAAAGTACAAAAAGTAAGCAAAGATTTAGCTTCATAATATATGGTCATGGAATCGCATGTAATTTATATGTAAAAATGTTCTACTTACACGTTAAGAAAGTTTAATATGGAATCTTTTGTATTTAAAAATAGTTTGAAAGTTTATATGACCGTTCTTTTATGACTTCTTTTATGTCACGAGGTTTAAAATGTTGTCGATTCAATAAAAAAAAGTTGTCGATTCAATAAAACTTGATTTAATTTTTTTTAAAATACAATAGGAATATGCCATTTAAAAGGGCAAATGAGGAAGCTGCAGTTGGAACAAGTGGGAAGAAAGAAGACGGAGCAATGAGTTAATACCATCTTAGGTACTACGAGTATAGTGATTTTACCACTTCTAGTCCTAAACTTTAGAATTGACTATTTGTGGTCTTTCGAATTTCAAATTTAACCATTCGTGGTCCAAGTTAACCACCCCAAGTCCTTCAACTTTCAAAATTTAACCACCCGTGATCTTCTGTCGCAATTGCTCACGGAGCAACGGATTAATCCATATGAATTTAGGCATTACCTAGTGCGAGTGGATCCATCAAAGCCCCACGAGTCTTGCACGTGACGTCAACGTAGCCCCATATCAATAGGCCATGCTTATTCGATGAACTACTATCTAAAGGACATTATTTTTATACATGAAATACATTATTTTTATGCATAAAGTACATTATTTTTATATGTAATGTTCAATATTTGAATGTATGCAAAATAGTATAAAAACAAATTGAACAGTCATTATTTTATGCATAAGGTTCACTATTTGAATGGATATGGTTTATTATTTGAGGATGTACAAACTGATTGAAGTTCTTGGATCATTTTTGTGGTACATGATGTTCTTTTTTGTTGAATATTTTATTTCATTGTAGAGTATGGCTAGACGTACTTATTCGGCACACCCCTTTACCTTAACTTGTTTTTTTTAGTAAAATCATACTTTATTAATAAAGGTCGAAGCCAATACAAAGTCCAAAGGATTAGGCCACACACGGCCAAACCCCAATAACTAAAACTAAACTAGGAAGATAGAACGAGATTACAAGACTTCATGGCCTCCAAGAACACCTCACACACACTCTGTTTTTAGCTCACTTCAACTCTTTCTTTTCCTGCCAATTCCCTCATTTTACCACTCTTTCTTTCATTCTCTCATATTGTTTCCCCTCAATTCTTTTCATTCATCTTTTTCTCTTTTTCTCTCTTTTCCTCTTTTCATTTTTCATTTTCATTTTCTTTTTAGCCAGCATAAAAAATAAACAGCAATCGTAAAAGAAATGCGGCTCGCAGGCCCAAATACAGACACGCAGGCCCTCAGTAAAAGCAAAATCATGGTGGATCATCCATATCAAAGAAAACATAGGGCATATCATCATTAGCAAGCAGAACCCGTAACCTGGTCGGTAGATCTGTAAAACATACAAAGCGAGCCTCCCCCGGCTTGTCAACGACCCAATCAGCTAGAGCCTGTGCCGGCAGATTCGCCCTAGATGGACACAGTCTGAAAGAGACAGACCCGCATGAGCACAGAAAGCGGAGCCGAGATACGACACCATCAAGTGGCCACGGCGGACGAGTCGAGACATCAAGATATCCTCCCATCTGAGCCAGCGTGGACTCCAACTCAATCTCTGTGTGTCCGCCAGTGAGGCACCACTCTAGGCAGGAAAACAACACTCGAAACAGTCTTTGGGCATGCTCTCCTTGCCCAAACCAAGCCACTCAGTAGCAAAGCCCACCCGATGGGTTGCGTACCAATGCTGCAGCCCCCCTACAGCCTCTGACAAAGATACATTAATCTTAATAGCTCCTGCCATAGGTGGGCCCCACCTGACCGTCCTCACGACCCACCTCGGCACCTGTGACTCCAGATATGCAACTATTGTCCTCCAATTTGGGGGTAGGATATGCTGCATCGGCCAACGCCTGAACAAGCATTCCGCAACCCCTCGAACTACCCCGAATATCACTCGCGCAACACTCGGAGTACCCCACCCATGCATGCACCCATTACGGTGTTTCCACAGCTCCCACATCACCAAGCAAGGCAACCTGTCAACAGCAAAAGAAAATAAAGGATTACGCGTTCCCCCACGGCCCCAGCTCGCAACTAGTGTCCTAAGACTCTGGTGCCGCGACTCTAGGCCTAGGGACGCCAAAATATAGTTCCACACTGCTTTTGCCGTTTCCCCATCATAAAAAACATGTGCAATAGTCTCAGAAGCTGGGGATTGACAACACCTACATTTCGAAACGAGCACATGGCCGAAACGAAACAAGGCGTCGTCGGTGGGTATCCGCCCTCGAAACACTCTCCAAGCCAGGAAAGACACCTTAAAAGGAAGGTGCTTACGCCAACACTTAGTCAGGAAAGGATCCGGTGCAACGGGCTGAACAGGCCTAAGATAGGCCTTAGCCGAGGAAAAAGAGAACATACCATCAGAAGCCGGAGTGCAAAGCGGGATATCCCGCGGCCCCTGGTTGATCCGGGACAAGTCCAAAGTGACCCCAGCATATAACAGCTCCTCATGACCAGTGAGATCAAGTACACCATCGTGTATGTAATCTAGCAGCATCTCCCGGGAATAAGAAACCCCCGGGAAAGGAAAAATCTTGCCTAGTGGCCCCAATCCTGACCAGTTATCCCACCAGAAATTAACCCAGCTTTGGAACAAGCGCCACGTCAGGACCCGCTCTACCTCATCGCGAATTGCAAGCATTCGCATCCAAATGTGCTAATCAGAATACCGGGCCACCTTTGCAACTGGGTGAACTCGTGTACAATACTTAGCTCTCATAAAATCTGACCACAAGGTGTGTTCCGTACGAAAGTTCCACCACAACTTCGCACTAGCTGCTCGAACCATCAATTCCAAGTCCAGGAAGCCAACTCCCCCTTCCTTCTTAGGCAAGGACAGTGTTTTCCAAGAACTCCAATGGTACTGAGCTCCCCCTGACTTCTTCCAGAAGAAGCTTGCAAAACACCGTTCCAAGTCTCTAACGACTTGTTTGGGTGGAGCACAGGCTGCAAATAAGTGTAGTGGTATAGCCTGCAATACTGATGATATCAAGACTGCCTCCCCCCCTTTTGATAATACCCGTCGTTGCCAACTCAAACATTTAGCTTTAACCTTATCAATCGCAGAGGCAAAATAAATACATTTCTTACGGCCTATGTATACCGGGCACCCAAGATACGTAAAGGGGAAAGCATTATGCACACACCTAGTTTCCCTACGAACTTCGTCAATTACTCGTACCGGAGTACGAGGATGCATATAAAACGCACTCTTCTGAAAACTCACCAACTGCCCCGATATCTACTCATAATCTTTTAGTGCTGAGATGACCTTTGTGATTGCCCCTAGCCTAGCTGTGCTAAAAATAATCACATCGTCTGCATAAGCCAAATGATGAATATGTGGTGTACCCGGCGGTTGAGTGAACCTAGGCACCGTGTAATCATCATAGACTCGGGCTAGATAGACGGAGAGAACCTCCGCCGCAATAACAAATAAGGTCGGGGATAGGAGACCCCCCTGCCTCAGCCCTCTGGTTGATGTAAAAAAACCCCTCCTTTATGCCGTTCACAATTACAGAGTACCAGACATTTGACACCGCACGAAATACCATATCAATCCAAACCTCACTGAAACCCAGGCGACGCATTACCGACGTCAGGAAGAACCAAGAGACTCGGTCATATGCCTTTGCCATGTCAAGTTTGAGGACTATATCCTTATTTTGTCGGCTAAGCCCGTAGCACATCTCTGAGGCCAGAAGCACATTGTCCATGATAGAACGCCCAGCCACAAAACCGCTCTGTTGCGGCGACAGCACACGCGGTAATATCATAGCCATCCGGACAACCATGAGCTTCGTGACCACCTTGCTACTGAAATTACAAAGGCTGATTGGCCTATAATCCGCAAAGGTCCCAAGACTCGGTTTTTTCGGCAGTAAGATGATGGATGTGTGCGTGATAGCCTCGTAAAGTCCCTTCCAGCGAAAAAGCTTCGAACCATCGCAAATACATCATCCTGGATGATGTCCCAGCAAGCCTTGTAGAAAGCTCCCGAGAAACCATCAGGACCCGCCGCACTTGTAGAACTCATCTGCATTACCACTTCCTTGACTTCTTCTACCCCTGGGACAGCTGTGAGTAGATCATTATCATCCTCCATAACCAATTGTGGTATACAATCTAGTCTAGCAAGATCAAACCCCCCCACTTCCGCCGTAAACATGCGCTCAAAAAAGGACACTGCCTGTTGGGCTATCCCTTGTCTATCCTCCAACCAAACCCCGTCATCATCTTTAACTCGATGAATACATAGCTTGCGCCTGCGCTCCTTGACAATTGCATGAAAATAACGGGAGTTTCTATCACCCTCTTGCACCTCTGTTACACGTGCCTTTTTGCTGCCAGAACTCCTCCTCTATCGCTATCTGTCTCTTCAGCAAAGCAACCCCTTTTTGATATTCAATTAATGCCCGCTCATCCTCCGGGTGTTGCTGCAACACCAACTCTAGATTCTGGACAGTATCCTCATATTCCCGCATTTTAGCAAATATGTCCCCAAACACCGTTCTGCTCCATCTACTTAGGACTTTCGCTAGCCTTTTGAGCTTTGCGGCCATTACAAACATCGGTGTTCCGTCTGCCGGAGCCTGCCAACTATCACGCACAACGTTCTGAAGTCATCATGCTTGACCCAAACGTTCAGAAAGACAAAATGCTTTGGCACCACCTAGGTGGTAGGTGGTGAGCAAGTCACAAGTAATTAGGAGCGGGTTGTAGTCCGACGTGGCTTTTGATAAATGCCATACAGACGTTTTGAACACCGACTCCCACTCGGAAGTGTAGAGACATCAATCTAAACACATCCATATGGCCGCCTCCCCACGTCGCCCATTCCACCAAGTGTAATGGGAGCCATAATACGTTGCATCTAACAAGCCACACGAACTGGCACACTCACAGAAATCTACAGCCTTCCTATGAAAGTAAGGCACACCACCTATTTTCTCGTCCACACTCATTAGACAATTGAAATCACCCATGACCGACCATGGGACCCCCCTTGGGATCCTGGGACAAACCGCCTTCAGCTCATCCCACAATGGGCCCCGAAGAGATTCCCTGGTCTTGGCATAAACAAAAGATAACCAAAACGGTGTGAGTAAAGTGGAATGAACACAAGAAATAGAGATAAACTGCTCCATTTGGCTCTCTATGGATACGGTGAGATCATTATTCCAAAACAACCATATTTTATTACTTGACCCGAATGCATTATCAAAATTGAATTTTATCTTAAAAGACTCAAGCCTATCAGCCGTATAGGCATTATTATATTTACAAGGCTCAATTAGACATAGAATAAGAGGCGAATGAGACCTAAGTAAAATGCGGGTCCTGGCAGCAGAACCCTGTGAAGCCACCCCCCTCACATTCCACACAAGAACCTTCATTGTAGAACCACGTGAGAAGGTGCGTGAGCTGAGGGGCGCAACCCCTTTTCCGTGTCAATGGCATTACCTGCTGGCACTTCACCCCTCCGCCCTGCATCTACTCCGGGGTCAGTCTCAAACCCCGTAGTCCATGATGGTTGGCGCTCTCGCCGAAGGACATCGCTATCTAAAAGAGAAGAGGTTGCCTGTTGGTGGCCCCCAACCCTTGCTGACGTGGAGGGCGTGTCAAGCCCCCTACTAACCACGTGGGTATTTGGGGTGTTAGAATCCCCAAGTCCCGTGGCACCCATAAGTGAGGTAAGCAAGTCATCCCCCACGTCACCAAGTGCTTGCAACGGGCCAAACCCATTACCTGTGGGCACCAAGTAATTGGTGCCGCTAGTGCCACGGGCCTGCCACACGGTTATGCTGGGACCTACTCCCGGGCCCCCGCCCATAGTGACCGGGGCCTTACCTTTCAACTGCCTCATCTTTGTCTATAGTTCTTCCTCTGCCTATAGGTCATACCCACTAGGCCTGCACTCCCCAACCCCTGCAGTTTGTCGGCCACCCCCGTAGGATATTTCACAAATCTATGTTCACTATTTGTATACATAATATTCATTACTTGTATACATGAAGTTCAATATTTGTGTGAATGTTTTTTTATACATGATCCACAGTAAAAATTGCCATCAATAGGTTTCCACATTTAACAACATACATGATACACCAACCACAATCCGCATTACAAGATAAACCATTGATAAATGTTCATTTTTTAATGTATTAAAAATAAACATTCAAAAAGATGAATATTTAATACACTATAAAAGTTGTGAAGTCAGGATGGCTGAGTTGTCAAAGTCGTCAGATTCAAGTTTTGATCCTCATGAGAGGGCGTGGGTTCAAATCCCACTTTTGACATAATAAAATAAAACTAAAAAAAGTAAGCAAAGATTTAGCTTCATAATATATGGTGAGGGAATTGCAAGTAATTTATATGTAAAAATGTTCTACTTACACGTTAAGAAAGTTTAATATGAAATCTTTTGTAATTAAAAATAGTTTGAAAGTTTATTTGACCATTCTTTTATGACTTCTTTTATGTCACGAGGTTTAAAATGTTGTCGATTCAATAAAATTTGTAATTAATTTTATTTTTTAAATACAATAGGAATATGGCATTTAAAAGGGCAAATGAGGCAGCTGCAGTTGGAACAAGAGGGACGAAAGAAGACGGATCAATGAGTTAATACCATCTTAGGTACTCCGAGTATAGTGATTTTACCACTTCTAGTCCTAAACATTCGAATTGACTATTTGTGGTCCTTCGAATTTCAAATTTAACCATTCGTGGTCAGAGTTAACCACCCCAAGTCCTTCAACTTTCAAAATTTAACCACCCGTGATCCTCTGTCGCAATTGCTCATGGAGCAATGGATTACTCCATATGAATTTAGGCATTACCAAGTGCGGGTGGATCCATCAGAGCCCCACGAGTCTTGCACGTGACGTCAACGTGGCCTCATATGCATAGGCCATGCTTACTAGGTGAACTACTTTCTAAAGGACATTATTTTTATACATGAAGTACATTATTTTTATGCATAAAGTACATTATTTTTATATGTAATCTTCAATATTTGAATGTATGCGAAATTGTATAAAAACAAATAGAACATTCATTATTTGTATGGATATGGTTTATTATTTGAGGATGTACATACTGATTGAAGTTCTAGGTTCATTTTTGTGGTACATGATGTTCTTTGTTTCTTGATTATTTTATTTCATTGTAGAGTATAGCTGGACGTACTTATTCGGTACACCCCTTTTCCTTTACTTAAAATATATGATTTTTAGCAAATCTATGTTCACTATTTGTATACATAATATTCATTACATGTATACATGAAGTTCACTACTTGTGTGAATGTGTTTTATGCATGATCCACAGTAAAAATAGCCATCAGTAGGTTACCACATTTAACAACATACATGATACACCAACCACAATCCGCATTACAAGATAAACCATTGATAAATGTTCGTTTTTTAATGTATTAAAAATAAACATTCAAAAAGATGAACATTTAATACACTATAAAAATTGTGAAGTCAGGATGGCCGAGTGGTCTAAGACGCTAAACTCAAGTTCTAGTCCTCGTGAGAAGGTGTGGGTTTAAGACCCACTCTAAAAAGTAAGTAAAGATTTAGCTTCATAATATATGGTCATTGAATCGCAATTAATTTAAAGTAAGCAAAGATTTAGCTTCATAATATATGGTGATGGAATCGCAAGTAAATTATATGTAAAATTGTTCTATTTACACGTTAAGAAAGTTTAGTATGAAATCTTTTGTAATTAAAAAAAGTTTGAAAGTTTATTTGACCGTTCTTTTATGACTTCTTTTATGTCACGAAGTTTAAAATGTTGTCGATTCAATAAAATTTGTAATTAATTTTATTTTTCAAATACAATAGGAATATGGCATTTAAAAGGGCAAATGAGGCAACTGCAGTTGGAAGAAGTGGGACGAAAGAAGACGGAGCAATGAGTTAATACCATCTTAGGTCCTCCGAGTATAGTTATTTTACCACTTCTAGTCCTAAACTTTCGAATTGACTATTTGTGGTCCTTCGAATTTCAAAATTAACCATTTGTGGTCCAAGTTAACAACCTCTAGTCCTTCAAATTTCAAAATTTAACCACCCGTGATCCTCTGTCGCAATTGCTCACGGAGCAATGGTTTACTCCAAATAAATTTAGGCATTACCTAGTGCGGGTGGATCCATCAAAGCTCCACGAGTCTTGCATGTGACGTCAACGTGGCCCCATATCCATAGGCCATGCTTATTAGGTGAAACATGATCTAAAGGACATTATTTTTATACATGTAGTACATTATTTTTATGCATAAAGTACATTATTTTTATAAGTAATGTTCAATATTTGAATGTATGCAAAATTGTATAAAAACAAATAGAACATTCATTATTTTTATGCATAAGGATCACTATTTGTATGGATATGGTTTATTATTTGAGGATGTACATAATGATTGAAGTTCTAGGTTCATTGTTGTGGTACATGATGTTCTCTGTTTCTAGAATATTTTATTTCATTGTAGAGTATAGATGGACGTACTTATTCGGCAAACCCCTTTACGTTTACATAAAAAATATGATTTTTAGCAAATCTATGTTCACTATTTGTATACATAATATTCATTACTTGTATACATGAAGTTCACTATTTGTGTGAATGTTTTTTTATGCATGATCCACAGTAAAAATTGCCATCAATCAGTTACCACATTTAACAACATACATGATACACCAACCACAATCCGCATTACAAGATAAACCATTGATAAATGTTCATTTTTTAATGTATTAAAAATAAACATTCAAAAAGATGAACATTTAATACACTATAAATGTTGTGAAGTTAAGATTGCTGAGTGGTCTAAGACGCCAAACTCAAGTTTTGGTCTAGGTGAGAGGGTGTGGGTTCAAATCCCACTATAAAAAGTAAGTAAAGATTTAGCTTCATAATATATGGTCATGGAATCGCAATTAATTTATATGTAAAAATGTTTTACTTACACTTTAAGAAACTTTAATATGAAATCTTTTGTAATTAAAAATAGTTTGAAAGTTTATTTGACCATTCTTCTATGACTTCTTTTATGTCAGGAGGTTGAAAATGTTGTCGATGCAATAAAACTTGTATTTAAATTTTTTTAAAAAAATATTATAGGAATATGGCATTTAAAAGGGAAAATGAGGCAGCTGCAGTTGGAACAAGTGGGACGAAAGAAGACAGATCAGAGCAATGAGTTAATACCATCTTAGGTCCTACGAGTATAGTTGTTTTACCACGTCTAGTCCTAAACTTTCGAATTGACTCTTTGTGGTCCTTCGAATTTCAAATTTGACCATTCGTGGTCCAAGTTAACCACCCCAAGACCTTCAACTTTAAAAATTTAAGCACCTGTGATCCTCTGTCGCAATTTCTCACGGAGCAATGAATTACTCCATATGAATTTAGGCATTACCTAGTGCGAGTGGATACATCAAAGCCCCACGAGTCTTGCATGTGACGTCAACGTGGCCCCATATCCATAGGCCATGCTTATTAGGTGAAATACTATCTAAAGGACATTATTTTTATACATAAA